CTGAACTTTTGACTGCTACCTTCCCGTATTCAGAGATCCAGAAAAGTAATGTCTCCTTGGTTATTACATTTATTACGGCCCCTTTGACAATGCAGCAGCGTGTATTCTTTAAAGATTTCTACGATTTTCCATTCTTTTTTCTATAAATTTCTACGGATATCAACCTTTCAACGTTTCACTCTTCATCTTCTTCTTCAGTAGTTTTTTGTTCTTAGGCGTGTTTTGCTCTCTACATGATTTCTAAGTATTATTCAATGTCTTTTTGGATCCTCGTATCAATAAATTTTAAGGAGATATTTGTCTCCTCTTTCCGTCTGCCTGTCCTTTTATCTGTATTTTTGTCTGTCTTTCCGTTTGTCTGCCTAAGATCCTTTTGACCATTTTGCACCTGGTGACATGCCACCGAGACTTAGGTCCTTTTGTCCACGAAACGTAACGAAATGTATCGAAACGTGACGAAACGTGACGAAACGTGACGAAACGTAACGAAACGTAACGAAACGTAACGAAACGTAACGAAACGTAACGAAACGTAACGAAACGTAACGAAACGTAACGAAACGTAACCGAAACGTAACGAAACGAAACGTAACGAAACGTAACGAAACGTAACGAAACGTAACGAAACGTAACGAAACGTAACGAATCGTAACGAAACGTAACGAAACGTAACGAAACGTAAGGAAACGTAACGAAACGTAACGAAACGTAACGAAACGTAACGAAACGTAACGGAACGTAACGAAACGTAACGAAACGTAACGTAACGAAACGTAACGAAACGAAACGAATACATCAACTGTTTGTTTCCCCATTCCTTTCCGACCAATAGCAATGAACCTTGACAGTTGACAGGTCCTTTTGACTCCGCCATCTTGTATATGGTTAGTTCACGTGAACGATGATCGCCATCATCGTTCAAGACATCTGATGGGATATTAACGAAGATATAAAGCGACAAGCGAGAACTGACCCTTGAACTGCGCATGTGCACATGCCATCTAGATGACATTGTCATCTACCATTTTCATCGTTCAAATCTGATCGATATTAACGAAGATATGAAAACGGCATTATGAACTGCGTATGTGCGAAATGACAACTAGATGTCATTCTCTACACGTAGCCGTTTGAATCGCTAAGGCCTTTCTGGCTTTACATAAAAATTCTCTTCTACGTTAATCATTCTCTACGTAATGCCGTTTTTCCCGCTTAAATCGGACCACGTGATATACGCTAAGGCCCTTCTGGCTTTACACATGAGTTTTCTGTTCAATGTTCATCATTCTTTACGTAATGTCGTTTTTCCTGTTTAAATCAGACCAACGATAGCTGAGATATTTGCTAAGGCCCTTGTGGCTTTTCGTTCTGCGCATGATTTTTCTATTCGACGGTAATCTATACTACGATCTCTACGTAATGCCGTTTTTCCCGTTTGAATCGGACCAACGATAGCTGAGATATTCGCTAAGGCCCTTTTGACATTGCACAAGATTTTTCTCTTCAACGTTAATCGTTCTTTTCATAATTCCGTTTTTCCCGTTTGAATTGGACCAATAGCAGTGAAGATACGTACTAAGGCCCTTGTGGCTTTTCGTTCTGCGCATGATTTTTCTCTTCAACGTTAATCTATACCACGATCTCTACTTAATGCCGTTTTTCCCGTTTGAATTGGACCAATAGCAGTGAAGATACGTACTAAGGCCCTTGTGGCATTGCGCATGATTTTTCTGTCAAAGGAGATTAATTTTTTCATTATTTTTCCCTTACTCTGTACGTTAAGACCGACGTATCACATGTTTTATATTTTATAAGCATGAGGGGGGGTCGTGGGGGTGAAGGAGGGTAGGTGTAATTTTTTGCTTATTTTTCCCTTACTCTGTACGTTAAGACCTTTCCAACGAGGTATCACACACTATGATTGATCGATTTTCAATGAGAGGGTGGCTCACGGGGATGAAAGGGGGTAGTTGACATTTCTTCATTATTTTTCCCTTACTCTGTACGTTAAGGCCTTTCCAACGATGTATCGCATGTACCGACCATATTTTATAAGCATGAGGGGGTTGTGGGGGTGAAGGAGGGTAGGTTGAATTTTTTGCTTATTTTTCATTGTTTACGTCAACTATTACCGCCATCTTGGATTTTCGACGTTATCATGTTTACTGATAACCCAGACTTCGAACTTCGACGCGTGACCTTGATTTAGACAAAAATTGCTAGAATGAACCTTAGAAATTCCCATGTTAATTTCCATAAGAAAAACGCGATTTTGTTCTAGAATGAACATAGCCCCTTTACTGAAACCGTTTAGAAGAAGTACGTCAACTAGCTGTTAACGAAATAACGATTCGAAGGCGATTACAAGAACATGGATTACGCTCCAGAAGACCTGCAACTGGCCCAGAGTTACTTAGGAATCACAGAACAGCACGTCTTCGATTTGCCAGGGAGCATTAACATTGGAATATCGATGAATGGAGTAAGATTTTATTTTTTGACGAGTCAAGGTTTTGTTTAACGAATATACCGAAGAAGAGGCGAAAGGTTTGACCAAGCAAATTTTTGCACAAGACTCAGTTATGAAGGAGGATCGGTAATGGTTTGGGGCGGCATAAGCATGGAAGCTCGTACTGATTTAGTCATTGTTGGCGGCGGAGCAATGACAGCTTACCGATATATTCGTGATGTGCTAGATCCATATGTAATTCCATTTGCACCATTTATAGGAAATTAATTTATGTTTATGCATGACAACGCTCGACCACATATTGCGAGGATTGTATCTCAATATTTGGATGAAACAGAAATTCAGAGGATGAACTGGCCATCACGTAGCCCAGACCTCAATCCAATTGAGCACGTCTGGGACATGATGGGCAGACGAGTTCATAACCGAGTTCCTTCTCCAAGTATTTTAAATTTTTTGAGAGATGCTTTGATCCAAGAATGGGATCAGATTGACCAGATGAAGATTCGATATCTAATAGAGGGTATGCCATGACGCATTGAGGCAGTTATTCGCGCTCGTGGGAAAAAAACCCGTTATTAATTTGTAATAATTATTAGTTTATTTGTTGTTTGAGTTGTTTATAAAATTATGTATTACTCTGCTAAAACTGAATAAAAAAATTAAGAATGTTGCATTTTCTTTAAACCGTCACATTTCGCAAACAAATTAAGATATCGGGGTAAATAAAAAAACAAAATGTTGGAAACAAATTAGTCTTCTTGATAAAGTGTGTGCAGATCTGCTAGCAGAATTAACCTACAGGGTGTGTCAACAGTAGAGGAAAAAATTGTTTTCTTTTCCCCCCTGTATATCCGGCGAGTACTAAATTACTTTTAGATGTCCGAATAATAATGTTAAAACTACATTATTTTATCTAAATCTAAATCTGCCTCCGCATTTGAAAGTTAGAGCATTTTTAAATAAATCATTATTTTGAATGGATCGAATTTTAAGTCGGTGAGTGTAGTCTATGCGCACAAATAATAAACACCGCTGGATTTATGTTTTGGGTACTTCTCAGGTAATTTTAGGTTAGGTTTGCAAACTGGTCGTGTTAATGCACTTGAAACTGGAGAATCAACCATATAAGGTCGATAGATACTTAAAGTAGTTCCAACGAACATGTAAAAGATATTAGCAAGAGGCCGGCGATAACTTGCTCAGGTGGTGATTTTAGTGGGTAAAGGGTAAAACTATTGGGAAAGGGAGAACCTGTACCGAATCTTTATAAGGGATTTCCACATATCAAAAAAATATCAAGAAGTTACTTCATCGAAAACTATTTTTTGGGCCAGTGTATCTAAAAATATACACAATCAAAAACTAAAAAGAAAATAATTTGAAAATGGAATGAATTATTTTATCACATACAAAACAACAAAAGAAATCACATTGGAATAAAAAAGAATAAGAAATCGTAGAATTTGAGGGTCGGCTTTGGCGCTGAACGTGTTAAATGTTTAGGATGTAATAAGATGCTTAATTTAAAAATGTATCTATATACTTGCTGGATGTTATAAGAATGGTAGTTTTTCTGTAGAAATGGTATACTGTGACGTAACAACTGGATGTCACAAGATGCAAGGTTTTTCTGGATGTCACAAAGTGTTGTTAATAAAAATATATACCGTGTATACTTTGGATCTCACAACGATAGGACGTCTTATTTTTTTAAAACGTGTATGGTTGTGATATTTTTCGCTCAGCCATAATATTTTTTTAATTAAAACAAGTCATATTTTTATTTTTTTCCTAAAGTCTTTGCAAAGGGTGGATGTCACAAAGTCAAAATTTTTGCTGGATGTCACATGATACGCTGGTCGAGTATATATATATATATATATATATATATATATATATATATATATATACAGTGAGCACCATAAGTCTTGCCCCCCTATCTAACTCGTTACTGGAGTCTTGTTAGGAAAATCGCCGAGACACGTCGATTTTTGATTTCTACAATGTACATTTTTGTATGAATAGTTTACCCTTAATTTCATCCCTTACTGGAGGGGAGCAACCCTTTCGAAAAATTTAAATGGCATGGGGTGGTGAGTGATAGCTCATTTGAAAGAGGGTTTTATTCTCTATTCAACTGTGTAAAAAAATTTGAAATTTGCTTCATTAATTCTCGACTAATTGTTGTTTCAGAATAACGGAAATTAACGTAGCGCACTCATCCTTAGAATTAAAATTCGGCCCTTCATGATTTCGGTTTTGGTTCAGACGTGAAGTAAGACTTTTTGCCATTAGAAGGTCACTGTTAGTCTAGTTGCTTTCCTATTTTGTGAGGTTTTGTTATTTTTAAACATTAATAAATCAACACGTAATGAAACAAATTTCAAAACCTGCTAAATTATTATTAATTCAAGAAGGATGTGTAAGAAATGGTCATCGTCACACATCAAATCCTGCAATTAACTGAATAGGTACTAAGCCACTAGAAAAATGGGACTGTAGAACCAATTTAAACAACTCTTCTTACCTGCATATTAGGCATAGCTCCAGGCATGTTTCCAGGCATAGAATTTCCCATCATCATTTGTTGGGGTCCTCTATTTAATGTTTGTAGTAAATTTGTAGCTGGTGCTTGTTGAGGACCTCCCATTTGAGGATTTTGTGGGCCCATATTCATCATCGAATTGCGAGTACCTTGGCTAGCCAAATTCTGGAGAGCATTAATGGGATCAGGCATACCTGGGCCTCCTTGGCCCTGGCCTGGGACAGCCATTCCTCCACCCTGTTTTGGTTCTAAAATTAAATAGGATGACTATATCCTTGGATTGCTGGTAAAAGCCATTAAAATGGAGAAAAAAAAGTTAAAATTTTTAAAATTTGATTTCATTTCAAATTGAAAAATAAAATTACAGTTATTTTTTTAACTTAGATATAACTTTATTATTAAAGCACAAGGTATAATATATATACATACACATAAATACATATACCCATGCATGCACATACATAACACATACACCTACATATAAACACACATACATACATATATGCATTACATTATTTGTTTGTCTTATGCCTTTTAGCTGTACCAACAAAAATCGAAACTAAAACTAAGATTATTACACTTAATTATCACAAATATTACAATTATCACAATGAGAGATAAGAAGAAAGTAACAGAATCAACAAAAATCAAAATAAGCACAAAAAATTTTCAATATTTTCCCAACAATACCTTTAAAACAAAATATTAACCTTTTTGTACTTTTTAACATTTCTAATACTTAGAGGAATAAGATTATAAAATTTAGGAGCCAGATATGTCATAAAATGCAAGTTTAAATCACATCTTGACTGAGGGATATTCAGCTCATGAGCAGCATTTGCCCGGGTCATAAAGTTATGGGACATACAATTCGATTTTAGTTTTTCATTTGTATGCACAAAACCACACACTGCAAGGACATATAGTACTTTTATATTGTTAATTTCTAAAGAATAAAGTTGGTTAGTAGAATATACTCTAGTTTTTTTTAGAATGATCCTTACAATGTAATTCTGCACTACTTTCAGTTGAGTAAGATTTGAGCTGTACATCCCACCCCATACAACAATGCCATACCTTAAAAGGGGTTCAACAAGTGCCATGTAAATCATCAGTAGCAACTTCTTCGCCATAACGTTGCGCATATAAAATTTATGAATAAAAAATCAAAATTTTTTGTTTAAGTAAAGCACATGTTGATCCCATTTCAGGTGTTTATCCAGAACAACCCCCAAATATTTAATATGGGATACTTCTTTCAAAGGCTGTTCTACATTGTCAAGCCTAATTTGATCAAAAACTGGTATGTTAGCCATTGTTATAGAAAAGGCAATGTAATGAGATTTTTTTATATTTAAAGTTAATTTGAATGTCTCTAGATAGTTCTTAATTTTGGCAAAACCAGTCTTTACTTTTTTACCCACCAATTCCCATGTCCTCGCATGAAATACCACCACAGTGTCATCAGCATATGCAATTATTAGATTCCAAAAATTCAAGTAATCTAACCTTAATACATTTTTCAAATATCTTTGCTAAATTTGAGATGATACTTATTGGTCTATAGTTACCTATATCCTCTGCATCTCCAGCTTTATGAATTGGGGTTACTATGGAGGTTTTAAACTGTGTGGGTACTTTTCCTGTTTTAACAATCAAATTAATTATATGAACTAAGGGATTTAAGAGATGGATATATAGCTGTTTGATAATTTTGGTAGTCAATTTATCTAACACCGGAGGGCAACAGTTTTTTAAACTCATCATATGTTCAATAATTTCATTAGGGTTTGTCGGTTTTAAGTACATTGAATAGAGAAGGCTATTTACAAATTGAAATGATCTAGAGGGACTTTTAATTTTGTCAGACATTTCTCTGCCTATATTAATAAAATAGTTATTTACAAAATCAGCAATTTTATTCTTTTAAAAAATCTTGCTTTTCTTTTCATCTTTTATGCAACTAGTAGAACTTTTAGTTAGGTTTTCGTTTGTTGCCACTTTAACCAAATTATAAATTTTTTTAATATCATGAGAGTTCTGATTAAATTTATCTATGTAATAGTCATTTTTTACAGATTTAATTATTTTATTAAGGTGATTTCTATATTCTCTGTATTCCAAAACCTTTGCTGGAGATGGGTTGATCCTAAGAGTTCTTTTTAGCCTATCTCGATTTTTAATAGATGTTATTATTGCATTTGTTATTCATGGTTTAAGCTTGTTATAACTATTTAGGGTATTTTTTTTAAATTCAGACTTCTCTATAATTACACTTAACTTTCCTAAAAGATAATTTGTAGCTTCTCCTGCTTGATCAAATCTTAAAATGAAAGACCAATCCACAAGATAATTTAGTTTATTCATGTTAATACATTTAAAAACATGTTGACTATTTGATGCTGTGGAATTTAGAGTAAAATCATCTGAAATGTGAAGCATAAGAGGTAGATGGTCAGTTATGTTGTGTTCTATAATGAATGTATCTATTTTTCTAGAAAAGATATTATATTTCTCTTAAAAATATATGGTCAAGGCAGGATTTACTTACTTCTCTAGTGACATCCTGACACAATGGAACAAACCCATGCAAAAACATTGAGGAAAGATATCTATTTACCTCAACATTGTCCCTATTAAGAAGATTTATATTAATATCACCCATTAAAATATCAATGTTACTATTACTATTTGCAATAGTTTCAAAAAACACATCCAAGTAATTCAAAAAATCATTTATACTTGAGGATGGAGACCTATATAATGCAAATATCATATAGATAATATTTTTCACAGATAATGTAATTTCCGTTACAGTAACACCTGAATTTTGCAGTTTATAGTTAACAAAATTTTTGTTTAAATTTAGCTTTGAATAGATAACAATTCCATCAAAAGTGTTATAGTTACTATTGTTGAAATATGATACATACCCTGGTATATCAAACTGCAATACTGATTCTAATTTATGACATTCAGTCAAAACTATAATATCACAATAATTATTAATATTATAAGTTTCTAAATAATAATTATGTTCGATTATAGTATGTACTGTATATGTAGTCGATTTGTTTATCAACTATTTATAATTTCTGTTTTAACACATAAAAATACTATTTAAAAGAGTATACATTATTTTTTTTAAACACTAAAGTAGCTTAATGTTTTTTTGTATGTATATTCAGAAAAAAACTATTAACAAAAATCCCCTGGGAAGTGGCAGATACACAAAATAGTGTTCAACTGAGATAAAATGTTTTATATGGCTTAAAACAAAAATAAATGCTATCTAGTATTTTTATTGCAAAATTCGTTAGAAAAAGCGTACTCACAATTCAAATTATACAAATTTTCATACTTACTCATTTCTCTAACATGTAATATTAACCTGGCAACAAATCCCAGATATTCTTCCTTATTTTTTGCTTTTTGAAAGACATGATTTTCCATTTCAATGCTGTTTCGGGAGGTGTTCATTCCAGATTGACGTATGGCTTCTTCACTGTAAAATTACAACATTTTCAAACAATATTAAACTAATTAGTATTAAACAAAATCTTACATTTTCGCGATGACGCTTTGACGAAAAGTTGGCGTTCTCCAAGAATTTTCGTCAGCCATATTTGTGATTTGATACTGTTAATTATAAATGATGAATTTATAATCCAACGAATCTTTAAAATAGTTCTTACAACGTGTAAGATTGTTTTATTTCATTACAAAGTGTTCCAGACACGATAAAATACAAACAAACAATGACTCATGGGCTCAATGTCAATCAATGACTGCAAGGTCATATCATCTGTCTTTTTGATATTTATGGTCTCTTACTTTTGTTTCTCGCACTTTAATTTATTGGCCTCTTATCTAATCAACAAGGCGTGCCTGGAACTCCCGTTTAGGCGCGGATACAACGCGGATAAAACACTAATTAGGTACCCCATTGCAAAGTAAATTTTAAAAAACTATTAATAAAACCTCAGGCAAATATATAAAAAAATTTGATGTGTCCAACACATAACTTTCCTATCTAGTTATTATAGGCTTTTTCCGGTTATTTTGTACAACCTATTGCAGCACCTCTATAAATGTTTAGAGGATAAACTAAATATATACATTTTCCACATACATCTACCTCGAAACATTTTTCTATAGATATTCATTGAAAACGAAAATACTGAAAAATGTAAATTTAGCACTTTTCCTTCAATTTTTCCATTACGGTCCATTTTAGAAAAATCATGTATAAACAAAAATTATAGAGATCGATATCGCGAACAACTTTTAGTTTAACAATTTTCATAAAAATCAGAAATTTGCACATTTTGTCAAATTTCTCGAATACGGACCATTTCAGGAAAATTTTACATAAAACAAAAATTATAGATAATACTATTAGAAGTAACTTTTATTTGAACAATTTTTTTTCTCCAAACATAAATAACAGATATATTCCATAAAATATAAAAACGTCCTCCCAAAGTACCCCCCCAGATGTTCCGACTTTGTCCAAAATCTAATCAGTTCACGTCAGGCCAAAATAAAACTTAAGTTTAAAATTTAATGTTTTTCTTTATCCGTTTTTGAGTTTTCTTCAAATTTCGAAATTTACACATTTTCTCAAATATCTCGAATACGGTCCATTTTAGAGAAATTATGTGTAGGATAAAAATTATAGAGAATTACATTACAAACAACTTTGTTTGAACCATTTTTATAAAAAAATATTTTTTTTACATTTTGTCAAATTTCTCGAATACGGACCATTTTAGGAAAATTTTGTGTAGAACAAAAATTTTAAATAATAATATAAGAAGTAACTTTTATTTGAAGAATTTTCTTCCCCAAACGTAAATAACAGATATATTCCATAAAATATAAAAATGACCACCTATAAAGTATCCCTCCAGATGTTCCGACTCTGCTCAAAATCTAATCAGTTTACTGGACGCTGGAACAAAGCTTAAGTTTAAAATTTGGTGTTTTTCTGTGTATAGGTTCATGAGTTATGGTGGACACAGACGCGCACACACAGACAGAGATACAGACATCATCGCGAAAATAGTCAAAACGGATTCAGGGGACCCCAAAACGTAAAAATACGTCAAAAACTGAAGGTCGAAAAAAATCATGATTCCTATATTTTCCTTATATCTGTATACAGATAGGAAAGTAAAAAGTGTTTAAGATATTATTTTTCTTCTGCAATCACTCAGCACGATGCCACTTACCTGTCGATCAACGTGTATTTTGTTGGATGAAGAGAGAACAATTTTCTACTGGTTTCTACCAACTTCTATTTGAAGAAACAGAATTGGTTGTAAAATTTCTTGTTTTACAGAGATTTTAACAAAAACCTCAATTTTTTTATATGGCTGGTTAACCTTTAATGTTTTGTGCATATTTTTTATACAGCTTATATTGTTGAATTATTCATTATATTTATTCCTTAAAAATGATAGAGTAGAAATACTTCATCTAATGCTAAACAATTAGATGATACCTTTATATTACATAAGACAAGTTTGTCATACAAAAAATTATTTTAAAATATACCTATACGCTTCTTAACAAAAAATTACTATTCTTACAAATAATTATAAATTATTTACTTAGGTTATACTTAATTGCTAATTAACCCCAAATAGTCATCCATCAGAGTTCCAATAGCAAACTGAAACAAATAAAAACTATTATAAACATCTAATGATTCAAAGTTACATCCCCCAATCAACTTTAAACAAGAAAAATGTGAGGAGATAATTTCTTATAAATTCATATTGTGAAAAAAATAAGTAATGTAGTTTACAAATATTAAAGGAATCATATATAAAATTTGTAATGCAACAAGCAACAATAAAATTTGAGATAAATATTTAAAAATATATTTTATATGGCAAAACCCAGAATAAATAATTATCTTGATAGTCCATTAGAGTCAAAAAGCAATCATGAGAGCTCATCTAGCCCTAGATTATAATGAAAAAAACTTTAAAAAAATAAACATTCATTTTAGTATTGTAAACTATAACTAAAGACTTTTGTAGCTGTTAATGGATCAATAAAAATACAATATAAAATATAATTACAATTCCAGAGGCATCCACTCTTGTACCAACTATCTTCAATCTAATTTCTCCTTCTGCATGTATAACAACATCTTCATCTTTAGTTTTATAACATTGCGGATTGACATTAGGACAGAACTCCATTTCAGCAGGAATAGAATGATGAGATATAAAACAGGATAGGGGACCTATTTCTGCAAACATGCCAACTTTATTTACTTGTCTAACAACTGCATCCAAAACTTCTCCTTTAAATGGACGAAAAACTATTGCTTTATACTTTACTGGATATACAACAAACCCTTGACCAGGTAGAATCAGTCCTGCTCCTATGCTATCAATTGTTGTAACAGCTATTACAAACCCGTATCTACAATAATAAAAATATAGATTCTAGAACATGTAATTCAAAACAAATTAAGCTTACTTTCCTGTACATGTTCCTTCTACTTCAGTATAAAGCTTTGTTTTCACTTTTTCTAATAATTGTGGTCCGAAGTATTGAGGATGAAGCAATATTTCGTGTTCTAAGGATATCTAAAAAAAAGTAACTTTTATTAGCACATTATTTTTTCATTGAAAAATTCCACTAACATGGTAAAACATTTTCTAAAAAATGAGATTTATAGTTGGTAATAATTGCAACACAAATATTTTTTGGTTATGTTTATGTCGTTCTTCTTTTTTGTTTATAAAATAATTAACTATTACGAGAAAGAATAGTGAACTGTTTGTGCCGTTTGTGGACGTGGAGGTCGCTGAATTTCACAACAGACAAGAGGCGAACGTAGAAGTCGTAGAAGAAAAAGATGAACATCATCGATGGAGGCGGGAAATTTAGTTTATAGTTAATGCAAATAATACCATTTTTATTTTACATGAATAAACCGATTTGAAATTGTTCTAGTAATCGGTAATATTGATAGCCTGTGCGCTATTTATTTAACTATTAAATTTGTTATTCAATTTTATACTGTGAGTATACTAACAATATTTCCGTAAGTTATCATTTTATATTTTCTACATAATAAAAATAAACAATTTTTGAGCATCTTCAAATAATGTTAAAATTGTAATGTTGAAAACGTTAACAATCATTTACATAATGTTAAAACCGTATCAAAAGCAATATATTTGTTTTGGTACTTCAATTTGTTGATCTAAAAAGATTAGGTATTTCTACATAGGTAAAGGGAACTGCGACATACATTTTTACTTTCCTAATTTTCCTATCAGGGCCTCAATTCTCGACTTTTTTTCCCATGGGAAAAAGATAATTTTCCTATGGGAATTTATATTTTGTATTCTCGACACATCCACTAGGAATATTTTCTCACGAAAAGTATGGGAGCAAATACACCTGGTATTTGGCATGGGAAATCAAATTTCCAATGGGAATCTGTCACCGGTGACATTTGCTAGTTACTTCAAATAATAATATTTATATATTATTATTACTAATATAACTTTCCTAAAATGGATGAAGCTATTTTACTTTCTCAATTAAACAATATAGAAGAGGCAAAAGAAGAGCAATTAATGTCCCAAGAGATTTTTGGTCTAAGTGGAAAAATGAGGCAGGGGATCCCTTTGAATCCTTAAATGATAGTCAATTTCTCAAATATGATCAACGCAAGTTTTCTAGAATAAGCAATCCCAGAATAAATTTTGTTTCATTATTAGGAATAGGCTATTTCAGAATAAATTTTGTTTTATTACGCAAAATAAATAGCAACTGTTAATAACATAATGAGATGGTAAAAAAATTGAAGCTAAAATATTGAATACTCTTAAGCCTTGGTTTCTTTGAACACTCCGTCGCGGTGAGCGGACAGTCCGTCGACCGCTGAGTACAGCAATTTTCGCCCGAGGTGGTTTGTTAAAAAATATAGAAAAATTTCTCTAAGTCTGTACGTGCTGTTTATGTATTATGAATGTAAACGAAAGGTACTAAAATGGATGCAAATAAATTGTTTGCGTTGTTATTATTGTTGAAAGAGGAAGAACAAGAGGAACTGGCAATTGCAACCGTCAAAGTTTCCAATAAGCCAGTGGATGAGTCGTTTTTGTGTCGCGATACAGAAGGTGCCTTTAATATCACTGTGCAGCGGAGGCTTCTTGGAAATGAAACCAAATTTAGGGAGTATTTTAGACTTTCTACAGATCTTTTTGAATTCGTGTTGAGTTTTATAAAGGACATAATATCCAAGAAACCTAAAAATAAAGTCATGATGTCATCTGTATGTGTGAATTTGTCACTCATTGTTTTAAAATTAATAACAATATAGTCTCCGCACACGCCGACGATTCCGCTGATATCAAACTCAACCGATATCAACCGACTCTTCGAGACAAATCAGCGGCATGACGCCGTCCTGCTCAGCTAAGCGGATTCAAGAAAACCATTCCCATTTAAATACTCTGGTTGGATAAAATCGTCAAAACGCGACGGTTGACGGACTGTCCGCTCACCGCGACGAAGTGTTCAAAGAAACCAAGGCTTTAAGCCTTGGTTTCTTTGAACACTCCGTCGCGGTGAGCGGACAGTCCGTCGACCGCTGAGGACAGCAATTTTCGCCCGAGGTGGTTTGTTAAAAAATATAGAAAATGATACTTTCTCTAGGTCTGTACGTGCTGTTTATGTATTATGAATGTAAACGAAAGGTACTAAAATGGATGCAAATAAATTGTTTGCGTTGTTATTATTGTTGGAAGAGGAAGAACAAGAGGAACTGGCAATTGCAACCGTCAAAGTTTCCAATAAGCCAGTGGATGAGTTGTTTTTGTGTCGCGATATAGAAGGTGCCTTTAATATCATTGTGCAGCTGAGGTTTTTTGGAAATGAAACCAAATTTAGGGAGTATTTTAGACTTTCTACAGATCTTTTTGAATTCGTGTTGAGTTTTATAAAGGACATAATATCCAAGAAACCTAAAAATAAAGTCATGATGTCATCTGTATGTGTGAATTTGTCACTCATTGTTTTAAAATTAATAACAATATAGTCTCCGCACACGCCGACGATTCCGCTGATATCAAACTCAACCGATATCAACCGACTCTTCGCGACAAATCAGCGGCATGACGCCGTCCTGCTCAGCTAAGCGGATTCAAGAAAACCATTCCCATTTAAATACTCTGGTTGGATAAAATCGTCAAAACGCGACGGTTGCCGGACTGTCCGCTCACCGCGACGAAGTGTTCAAAGAAACCAAGGCTTTAAATATCCTTAAAATTCCTCTGTTTCTGCTATTTTTTCCAAGGCACAGTTGTTTGTTCTTTTGCCAAAACATTTCTCTCTAACTTGAATTTTTTGTCATAATAATTTTCTTTATTAAAGTTTTTATTTTGTAACATGCGTTCAATATTTCGGCTAGTATTCAAGGTTTTAGTTAACCTTGTAGCAGCTACTCTTCGTTTGGGCTTTATTGTGCCCCTTGTACTAGGTTTAGCACATTATATATTTTCACATTATTTTCTAAATAAGAAGGGTTGATTGTTTTCTCTGACAAGATGGCAAGTGGCAAAACAAGAGTCAAAAGTTGACGATATAATCAATGATCCCAACATTACTACTTGAAAGTATTGAAATATAATATTGATTATGATTGGTCAATTTCCAATATTTACATACTTAATACCCGACATACGTTAGACATACGAATAATCGAAATTCCCATAGGAAAAAGGTTCCTAACCTAGTCGAGAATACCATTTTATAATACCACTGGAATATAAGCATGGGAATATTTATCCATGGGAAAATTTTCCGGTGAAGTCGAGAATTGAGGCCCAGGGGGTCAATTCTCGACTTGTAGGAACCTTTTTAACCGACTTCAAAAAAGGAGGAGGTTATCAATTCGTCGCGATATTTTTTTTTTTATGTATGTTCAGCGATTATTCTTTAACACGGTGTCCGATTTCAATGATTATTTTTTTGTTAGAAAGGGGGTATTTCAGGGGTGGTCCCATATAAATTTAGTCAAAATCTAATAATTGGGTCCATGAGAAAATCCTCAAACTCTTCATTTTTTATGTATGTTCAGCGATAATTTTTTAACACGGTGTCCGATTTCAATAATTCTTTTTTGTTAGAAAGAGGCTACTGTAGGGGTGGTCCCATATAAATTTTGTCAAAATCTAATGATTGGATCCATGAGAAAATCCTCAAACTCTTCATTTTTTATGTATGTTTAGCGATAATGCTTTACCACCTTGTCCGATTTATATGATTCTTTTTCTGTTAGAAAGGGGGTACCTCCAGGGGTGGTCCCATATAAATTTGGTTAAGATGTGGCATCTGCACGTTTTTGAAGTCGGTTTTTTTAAATTTTTAATTTGTAATACTTGTCCTATAGGAATTTGTGACACTTTCCTACATGTAGACAAATGTCATAAATTTCCGATGTGTAGAAAAATGTCAAAAATTCCTACGAGTCGAGAATCGACCCCCAGGGGGTCAATTCTCGACTTGTAGGAACCTTTTCCTATAGGAATTTGTGACACTTTCCTATATGTAGGAAAACGTCATAAATTTTCGATGTATATAAAAATGTCAAAAATTCCTATAGGAAAATATTCCTGGAAAAGGTTCCTACAAGTCGAGAATCGACCCCCAGGGGGTCGATTCTCGACTCGTAGGAATAATAACTCTAGTTACTGTTAATACTATTATCAATAATTTTTGTTTAATGCCAAATGTTCCTGAAATGGTCCGTATTCGAGAAATTTGACAAAATGTGCAAAATTCGGATTTTTAAGAAAATAGTTAAACTAAAAGTTGTTTGCGATATCGATCTCTATAATTCTTTTTTTACATTTTTCTAAAATGAAAAAATTGAAGGAAAAGTGCTAAATTTACATTTTTCAGTATTTTCGTTTTCAATGAATATCTATAGAAAAATGTTTCGAGGTAGATGTATGTGGAAAATGTATATATTTAGTTTATCCTCTAAACATTTATAGAGGTGCTGCAATAGGTTGTACAAAATAACCGGAAAAAGCCTATAATAACTAGATAGGAAAGTCATGTGTTGGACACATCATATTTTTATGGTTAGATATTGATATCGATTTGAATTAATGACATTTAATATTCAAGTTCACAATATTAATTATTCTGTTTTAAAAACATTATGACCAATTTTTGAATATTTTACATACGTAATCAATAGTATGTGACTTATGATTTATTATTCAATTTAGACAAACAGTCCGAAGATCAATCAATTTTTGGCTTCGTAAAATGAGATAAGGCTATTTATTTTTATAAAATAATACACAAATATTCTGCATTAAAAATGTATTAACAAACTGGTGTTTAGTCTTCAATTTCAATATAAAATGTATTAATAAAGGATTAGAATAAAAATATATATATAATAAAAAAAATACTTTACAATGCTTACATTATGCTTAACATAATTCTCATAAACTAATACTAATGTCGAAAATAAATAAATATTTTAATCACAGATAAAATTTGTGAAACTAAATTTCACCAATGCCTTAACCAAAATTTAAAAGGAATGTACATACACATTTTCTGGTAATAAAAAACCGAAAAATAACTCCAAATCAATTTTTGGTTATTGAAAAAATCCTTATAAATATAGATAAATATTAAATACATTACATAAATCAAAAATAAAAAGAGAATATTATTGCGGAAACGGAATTAAATTT